CGAGCCCAACTAAGTTGGCACCGAGAAACAAACAAAGAAATAAAAATCACCAACCAAACCCATAAAAAAAGACACTAACTCAAAGCACAAGGGAGAACTATATCAGCAGGCCAAAACAATTTTACTCCCCAAGCTGCATCTGATTTGGCTCAGATTGGTCAAGAAGTCCAGAATAATGAAGTGATAATCCTTAAATCTTTGATTAAGCCACATTGGAACTCTAAACTGAATCAAATCACAAACTTCCACCAACTTAGGTGTAGCAGACTCAAAAATGCACTTATTTCTAAGTTTCCACAATGACCACAAGACTGCCAAGTGGATGACCTTCCAAATTAATTTTTCTTTTCTGTTCAATTGATCACAATCCCACCACTGAAGTACAGCTTCTATAGAATCTAGAAGAGCTCCTTGCATTTCCCACCAATTCAACATTGCAGCCCATTCCTTCCATGAAAAATGGCAATGTAGCAGCACATGACAGATCGATTCAATCTTTATTTTACAGAAAACACAGAGTGCTTTGAATGAAACATGACAAATAACTTAGACTTATTATATGGAAGAGTTGAATTATACTTGCATATAATAGAGTTGAACTAAGTTGGCAATGCTTTCGAATGAAACATGACGAATAACTTAGACTTATCATATGGCAGAGTTGAATTATACTTGTATATAATTGAGTTGAACTACCTTGGCGATGCTTCCGAATGAAACATGACGAATAACTTAGACTCATTATATGGTAGATTTGAATTATACTTGCATATAATGGAGTTGAACTAATTGAACTAAGTTGATTAACGGAGAAACTAAGGTTGAAACACCTGGGGGAGCCTTTGTTTGAATCTAGTCCGACTTTGTGAAATGACTTGCGAGGCGTAGGATAAGTGGGAGCCAGAAATGGAAAAAGTGAAATACCACTACTTTTAACATTATTTTACTTATTCCATGAATCGGAGGGAGGGCACTGCCCCTCTTTTTGGACCCAAGTCCCGCCATAGGCGGAAGACATTGTCAGGTGGAGAGTTTGGCTGGGGGCGGTGCATCTATTAAAAGATAACTCAGGTGTCCTAAGATAAGCTCAACGAGAACAGAAATCTCGCGTGGAACAGAAGGGTAAAAGCTCGTTTGATTTTGATTTCCAGTATGAATATGAAACCCTGAAAGCGTGGCCTAACGATCCTTTAGACCTTCAGAATTTGAAGTTAGATAACTGGCTTGTGGTAACCAAGCGTTCATAGCGATGTTGCTATTTGATCCTTCGATGTCGGCTCTTCCTATCATTGTTAAGCAGAATTCACCAAGTGTTGGATTGTTCACCCACTAATAGGAAATGTGAGCTGGGTTTAGACCATCGTGAGACAGGTTTGTTTTACCCTACTAATGGCAGCGTTGTAATAGTAATTCAACCTACTATGAGAGGAACCGTTGATTCACATAATTAGTCATCGCGATTGGTTGAAAAGCCAGTGGCGTGAAGCTACCGTGCGATGGATTATGACTGAACGCCTTTAAGTTAGAATTCGGGCTAAAAGCGACGCTTGTGCCCGCCGCCCACTTGCCGACCCGCAATAGGGGTCGTCCGTCCCCTAAAGGCACGTGTTGTTGGTAAAGCTCGCGGAGCAGATGAGTTATGTGGGCCCCCTTAAAGTACAATTCTTATCTCGAGCAACGGGTAGAATCCTTTACAGATAACTTTAATACACGACAGGGTATTGTAAGTGGTAGAGTGGCCTTGCCGACACAATCCACTGAGATTCAATCCTGTGTCGCTTTGATTCATCCCTCCCCCCTCCCTGTCCCTCCTTTGACCAATTGCCCGTGAGGTTTAGAACATATAATATAGCCTAAGTGTGTGCCTCGACACACAAAAACGATTTACTTGCATGTCGAAAAGAAATTCCTAAGGCCTACGGGGATTGCTAACACTTTTCATTGAGTTGGGCGTTGGCAGCACGTCCGAACGAAGGCTTTAATATGCACGACGGCCTGGGTTACAGAACTTGGTAAGGTTGTGGCTGGCTGCTCAGTTTGTGGCTAGAGTTGTGTCCAAGGTAGGGCTTGTGGCATGGGCCACGTCCTGGCTTGTATGTCTACGACCAAGGTTGTAATTCTTGGCAAGGTCGCGGCCTGGACGGCGGCACTTGGCATGGCTGCGGCCTGGCTTGCATGCACGTAGCCAGGGTTGCGGCCAAGGCTGTGGCACTTGGCAAGGCTGTAACCTCACTTACATGCCCGCGGCCTAGGCTGTAACACTTGGCAAGGTTGGGACCAGGGCTTTGGCCTAGCTTGCACGTGTGCGGCATGGGTCGGGCCGGGCCTAGCTTGCACGCTTGCAGCCAATGTTGTAGTACTTGGCAAGGTCGCGGCCTCACTTGCATGCGTGCAGCCTAGGGCGGTAGCACTTGGCAAGGCCGCGACCTAGCTTGCATGCACGCGACTTGGGCTGCGGTAAAGGTTGTAGCACTTGGCAAGGCCGCAGATTCACTTGCATGCATGCGGCCTGGGTTGTGGCACTTGCCAAGGCCGTGGCTTGGCTTGCATATACGCGACTAGGGCTCTGGCTAAGGCTTCTGCACTTGCCAAGGCCGCGCCTCGGCAGGCATGTGTGTGGCGAAGGTTGTGGCACTTGGCAAGGCTATTGTCTCACTTGTATACGTGTGGCCTGGACTGTGCCCCTTGGCAAGGCCGCGACCTGGCTTGCATGCTCGCCGCGAAGGCTGTGGCACTTGACAAGCCTGTTGCACTTGGCAAGGCCGTGACACTTGACAATGTTGAGGTCTAGCATGTGTGCGCTCAGCCTGGGTTGCAGCACTAGGCAAGATATCAAGGTGTGCCAATCCAAGGGTCAACACCTTGATGCCACACACATTTGTGCCTTTTGGAGAGCCAAAGACATGCCTAAGAAGTTATTGGTGCAAGTACAAGGAAAGGCCCAACGCATAATGCAAGAATAGCCCACGGCATGCCAAGAGATAGCATATGCCAAGCCGCAGCTAGCAGTAGAACAACTTAGGTTCATGTCGTCAAGGTGCCTAGCCACACAACAATGTGCTAGTGAAGGCCCTCGACTTAGCCGACAAGCCTACATTGCATGTTGGGTCTTTGATAGCATCTCGAAGTGCCACAGGGTCAAGCATGCCTCAATAGATGCATATTGGATGGCCACTTGGTCATGTGAAGCCCACAAGCCACCGATGGTTAATCTCTTGCCCACGGCATAGTCCTCGTGCCAACATGTGTATTAGATTCCGCACAAGGCCATTGTGCACCTTAGCGTTGCACCAACGTGTAGCATGAGTAAGGCAATGTCCCAACCCGTAGCTCGCTCGTAGCATAATGTAGTCCCCCAATGGACTTAGTTGATGCATAGCTTGATGCTTTCATTTAATAGTCCACATATGCGGTGTTGCCTTCTAACCGCTTAGCTTAAGCCATGGGAACCCCTCGTGCAAGGTTGAACCCAAACCAAGCACTTGAGTTGGCACATGAGGCCTTTGGTGGTGACTCGATAGCCCATTCGATCTAAAACAAGTCCCCGAGATGCCATAACACGTGACATAAGGATGATAACGTGTTAAACCTCATCCTTGGAAAAATTCCAATAACCTCCAGATATGATCTAATATATCCTAAGTTTCAAACCCAATTGGTTTCACTTTATTTGCTTATCAAAATAATTTTCTACAATTTATTATATCCAAACAGGTTGTTTTCTGCAGCATTTTAAAGAAATTGACGGTTCTCTTAATATACACAAGCAATCAATGCAAGGCCAAAAACGTACGAAACTAGACTCATAACCGGTTCTAATGACACTAATTTGATAATTTTTGGATTTATACCCAAAGAGAACAACACTCCCGAATTTACTGTTTCGGACTAGTTTCCTGGACAGATTTGAATACCTTAATTTATATGGATTTCGACTCCCAAAAATTATGAAAAAAATCAGATATGCAATTCAATATGTAATTGATCTACTGTAAAAATTTCAGATTAAAATTCATCCGTTTGATATGGTTTCTTGATTTTTAAAGTTTGTGATTTTGTGCAGAATTTTTGAACTAAGAATTATACCCATTCTTTACACATAAATTTAGCTCCTCAGATTTCTTAACAGTGTATACTTATATATACAAAATACATAAACCTACAACCTCTCCATGAATGAATAAAATAATTATAGAATAAGGATGAAGAACAAAGAAAGAAGAGAAGAAAACCTACAAGGGCTAACCTTTGATGATCACACACAACACAACACACCCAAAAGTTCTTTGATTGCAACATCTTCTTCTTTTTTTCCTTCTCTCAAACCCTCTCCCGTGGCTGCTGTTATAGTGTTGATTAAGAACCCTAGTGTTGTTATATATTGTATTAGGCAACCTAGGATTACTTTATATATCTAAACAAAAGGCCCTAAATTATTATCTCTTAATATTATTTTATTTTCTAACCCTCTGTTTCTTCTTATGCTTTCTGCTTTGCATTTTCTACCTTTATATTGTTCATGCATTGTGCTTTATGTTTGATATTTGTTGATTCACACAGCTGATCGTTTCCTGCAATTGTGGGTTTATGCTTATTTCTCGGCCCTTGCCCCAAAGCTGATGGACGAGATTGCCTTGGTCGTGCCCTATTCATGGTAGTATGATGGTAGGTGCCGCCGCCAGAGCCGCAAGGACATGACTTTTGCCTTCTATCATTGCTACTTCAACACAGTGGTTGCCCGCGAGGTAATCCGAAACTCATAGTCATTTCTGCTTTATTTCCATTACTATTCTGATCCATATTTTGCATTTGACAGCAACTAATAACTTGTACATTCTTTACTTGCAGATCACCTGGCAACCATAGGTGATGATGCCAGCCAGAGTTAGGGACCAGTACGCCGGAGCCTAAGCTATTTCCTGATATCAGATCTTGTTGGAGGGCCCATTCTACTGAGCTTGGTTCTTGGGAGAGCGGTTTGTACGCTAGACACTGGGCTTGCTCACCCTGGTTGTTCCTATGTTGCCTCTAGCATCCATGAGGATAGCTAATAGTCTCTCAGTTGAGGCCATTATTCAGTATATGGTGGGGTTAGATGCCGACTACTTCTAAGGGGAGGGTGACTACACGACCTTCATCTAGACTCATCTTATGCCACCCTTGATTGGAGTTCGCGTCGGCAGTGTAGCGGGTGCTCCCTTGATCGGAGAGGTTGCTTAAGGGGCTGCTGCTGGTATTGGAGAGGCTCCGTCTACTTTCTGTTGGCTAGCGATTCCTACCATGATTCTTTGCAGGCTGCCAAGCGGGATGACCTATCAGCTCCTAATAAAGCCACCGGAGGCGGGGCACGGGTATGTCAGAGCCTCGGGCAGACCTCAGGTACGGACCATACTTGACACATTGCATTCCGTGCTTTCCTTTTTTCAAATACTGAGTAGTCAACTTCACTTGTAAGCACCCACAAAGTATACAGAGGGCCTTCTTCAGCTGGTTCCCTCCTTGGTTCAGTGGTGCAGATGAGGGAGATATTGCTCACTCTTCGCAGTATCCAGGTATACTTCCATTCCCCTTATGCGTTGCATTGCTTCCCACACTATACTGATATGCCATATTCCCACTGATACATGATATTCATACTGTACGATACTCTCAATGATACACTACATACTGACATACATCCTGATACTGCTTCACACTACACTGACAGACTACATTGACACATTGCACCCGTTTTCTGTGTCACACTCATATTGCATACTCCAATCTGTAATAATACATACACTATATCTAATATTATGATATTTACTTTTCAAGTTCCACCTACGCCGAGGGCACCAGCGGTAGCGGCAACACTAGTGGCATCTCTTTCAGTGATAGGGAGGAGAGGTAGACGGGCCCCAGCATGCAGCCAAGATGAGCGTCGAGGCCAAGGTAGAGGTAGACGTACTCGGAATCGAAGCAGCTCGGAGCCAGTTTTGAGTGAGGATGATACTAAGACCAGCGACTCTGAGGAGGCAGTGAGCCGACACTCTGAGTCTGAGAGCGAGACGATGATGTGAACTCTAGATCAGAGAGCAAGGAGGACGCTGAGGCTGGTTTTGAGTCAAGAAGCGGAGATGATGATACTGGCTCCGGTTTGAAGTCTGATTCTGATAGTGGCGCCGATGAAGACAGTGCCCATGAGTCCCCTTCGAGGAAGAAGACGAAGAGGGCCTCTCGAGCTTGATGCGACTGGCACAGATTTTTGTACTCTTTTGCTTAGTTTCTTTTTGTTTTGGTAGCTTACACATGCATAGCTTCAGATAGGTATTTACTCTTGCTTTTGAACAGACTTGTACTCTCTTTTGTAAAAAACTTTGATTGGGGGAAAACCCTGAAGTTTATAAAAGAGTTATTGTTTTATTTATTTATTTTTATTTTTGCATCATGAGCACCACATTTGCACAGAATGAAAATGGAGCTGAATTTGAAACCAAGAATGCTTGTGTTGGAATAATGTTCTCAACCGGGTAATGAGCCAACCAACAACCAAAATACAAAATATAACTCGATAAATGGAAAATGAAGTAAAACCAACCTAAATACAACTATGTACACTTGCTAAAAACAAAAGACTCAAAACAAGACCCCAAAACATAGAGACCAGGACAAAACCAAAATGCCAAACTGCCTGGGCAAAAAAGTGGACGGCAGGCCACAAAAAAATGGGTGCCGGCCACTTGTGGTGGTCCACCAGTTAACTGACAGTTGTCCTCCACTCACAGCCCTATCTTCTACAAAAGGTCTTTCTTCACAATTTCTTCACCAGAACCTCATTTTAGCTGATGTTTTCTTTGAAAATGGAGATCTTTCTTGTCGAGAAGCTCGCGGATTGGATAACTACTTTAGACAACACGGAAAAGGTGAATTTATGAGGTTTTAGCATAAATACACTTTTTCCATTGAGTCATACTCCACTTTGTTTTCCATTCCTCCATGCCGCAGGCCGATGTTAGGGCTCAATTGCGCATGTATTTCGCTTTGGAGCACAGGAAATGTGTCCGACTCTTGAAGAATTTCAAGCATTGAAGGAGTCCCGGTGTGATGAGGAGATCATGCCTCAGCCTCGTTTTTGCCATGCCCTGGCTTTGGGACGGATGTGTGAGCCTACTTTGCACGACACTCGATCTTTGGCTCATCACAGGGAGCTAGATATATGTGGCTTAATTCATCGGTTTTCTGACATTGGAGATAGAGGCAACCTTCTCTGGCGAGGTTCCCGACAACATGCCCTCCATTTATGTATGCTCCCGTATTTCCTTCTTGCCCCTAGTTGCAGCGGAGCTAACATTAAGCTAATCGAAGTAGCCTAAGGCTTGAAACAAGGTAAGAGCCGCATTGGTTTAGCACTAGTCGAGACCTTGATGGGTTTAGATGCTTTTCATCGGTGAGAGACCACTACGTTTGCGGGGAGTCCATTACTGCTCCAGGTATTGTTTCCTATCCTTTCTTATATATGATTCTTACATCACTCGGCACTCACACTTTAGTTTTCTCTCAAAGCCCTTTCTTTTCTTTTCTCTTAACGTACATCTCTCTATTCTTTAATCTCTCTTCTTTTTAATCCCTTCCCAGCTATGGATCATGGATAAGCTGAGAGTGGTGGATCCTTGTCCTGAATATTTAGCCAGAGCTTACTTTTTCCCCCAGAGACTAGTGGACTTTCCCAATGAGGGGTGGTGGCACAACTGGATGTGCAGTAGATCTGCAACTGACATAGCTTGGCATTGCCCCTGGCTTAATGTGGCTGAGATGAACTGCAACATGTCCTGACAACCGGGTATTCAGTTGATCGGGCTCACGCACTGCATGTTCTACTTTCCTTTCCGGTTTAGACGCCAGTTTGGACATGATCAGACCCGACCAGATGAGGGGATAGAATACTTGACTTCATTCCCATTTCGTGGTTCACACCTGACTCAATACCTTAATGCTTGGAGGATGAGAGAGCTTCTAGCCCCTGCCCCTAGTTTTAGTTATGCCCTTTCTGGTGAGTGCTTGGCTTAGCTTGAAGATGAGGCATAGGTTGGGCCAACTTTGGCTGCAAAGGCTTCTACAAGTATGAGCAGAGGACGCAGGAGCACCTGACTCATCTATACCCCTAGTTTATTGTTTTGACTTTTCCTTTCCAGTTTTATGATGTAAAAGCAACTTTAATTGAACTAAGAGAGTCGGAGAATGTACTTTTGTTGAAATCAATGGAATTAAAGTTGTGAGCACAAATTTTTTTTCTTTTGGTCCCCAAAATGGTCTAAGTTGTAAAAGGTAAAATTTTGAACAAAATCAACTTTTATTAAAACTTTTCAAAATAATTTTTGAAAATGATCACTGCCTAACACACATAGAATCTGCCCTCAAGATGCATAGCCCCAAATAAGAAGATCACAATTGCACATAACTGTATTTATCATACTGACCCTTATGCTGCTATACTGGAGATCACATTACCGAGCATAGATGATGGACAATGATGGCCCGATCGGACAAATGGATGAATAGGAAAATTGAAATGGAGATGGTTATGGCCGAACTTCAGGATGAAGTTGCCTACGTATCCCAGAGATGGGAATCAAGCCTTATGTAGTTTGGTTTTGGTTCACTTGAGTATTAACTCTCTTCTTTTGCACTCTAACTTTTGCCAAAGTCGCTCTTCTAATTTTTCGACCTTGCGAGCTCAATTTTTCTTTATTTCTAATTTTTGATGCTCTAACTTTTGCCTAGGTTGCCCTTTTGGGTTTTCGGCCTAGCGAGCCTCTCAAGGGTAATATTTCTTTAACTTGTCCATATTGATCGGTTGTGAAAACTCCAAGCCATCTAGATCCATGAGAATAATCCCCTCTCCTTACCAAATAGATTTGATAATGTAAGGGCTAGTCCAATTCGGTCTGAACTTACCCCTAAGGTCGTGGATGGGAGCCCGGTTGTCTTTCAATACCATGTCTCCTTCCTTGAGATTCCTGGACTTAACTTTCTTGTTAAAAGCCCTAGCAATTCTATGCTGGTAGCCCTGGACTTGATGCAATGCCTTTAGTCTTCTCTCATTAAATAGCATCAACTCCTCCAACCTGCACTGTTGCTAATCCGCCTCTGCTATCTAACACTCTGCCATAACTCGTAGCAACGACACTTCAATTTCAATTGGCAGAACAGCCTCCATCCTATAGATGAGAGAATAGGGGGTTGTTCCTGTAGATGTTTAGATTGAGGTTCTATAGTCCCAGAGCGCGAATGCAGTTTATTCGGCTAATCCCTGTAGGTTTCTACCATCTTCCACAAGATGCTCTTGATATTCTTGTTGGCGGCCTCAACAGCTCCATTAGTCTGTGGTATATATGTCGATGACTTATGAGAAGCGACGTTGTATTTCTCAAGCAGATCCACCACCTCTTTCTTGAAGTGTGAGCCATTGTCTGGTATAATTTCATTCAGAACGCCATACCGGCAGATGATGTTATTTCTAATGAATTTGGCTACATGCAACGTTTTCAACACCGCATAGGACTAAGCTTCCACCCACTTCGTGAAGTAGTTAATCGCCACCAAGATGAACTCGTGTCCATTTGACTCCTTTGGCGAGACTACACTGATAATGTCTAGTCTCCAGACTGAGAAAGTGGACTTAACTTTCTTGTTAAAAGCCCTAGCAATTCTATGCTGGTAGCCCTGGACTTGATGCAATGCCTTTAGTCTTCTCTCATTAAATAGCATCAACTCCTCCAACCTGCTCTGTTGCCAATCCGCCTCTGCTATCTAACACTCTGCCATAACTCGTAGCAACGACATTCCAATTTCAATTGGCAGAACAGCCTCCATCCTATAGATGAGAGAATAGGGGGTTGCTCCTGTGGATGTTTAGATTGAGGTTCTATAGCTCCAGAGCGCGAATGCAGTTTCCAATCCCTGTAGGTTTCTACCATATTCCACAAGATGCTCTTGATATTCTTGTTGGTGGCCTCAACAGCTCCATTAGTCTGTGGTATATATATCGATGACTTATGCGAAGCGACGTTGTATTTCTCAAGCAGATCCACCATCTCTTTCTTGAAGTGTGAGCCATTGTCTGATATAATTTCATTCAGAACGCCATACCGACAGATGATGTTATTTCTAATGAATTTGGCTACATGCAACGTTTTCAACATCGCATAGGACTAAGCTTCCACCCACTTCGTGAAGTAGTTAATCGCCACCAAGATGAACTCGTGTCCATTTGACTCCTTTGGCGAGACTACACTGATAATGTCTAGTCTCCAGACTGAGAAAGGCCATGGTGATATCATGTTGTAGAGCTTAGACGGCGGTATGTTCATGCGATTGGCATGGATTTGGCATTTGTGGCATCGCTGTAAAAAGCCAATATAATCTTTCTTCATGGTTGACCAGTAATAACCTTATCTGAGGATCTTCCGGACTAGCATCACACCATTTATGTGTGCTCCACACTTCCTTCCGTGGATAGCCTCCATAAGATGCTTCGATCCCTCTTCCTCCACACAATTTGTGCATTTCCATATGACCCCTTTTATACAGCTTGCCCCCGCAGATGATAAATTTGATGGCTAGACACCGTATTCCCCATTTATCTTTGGCATTTGCCCCCAGTGGATACGTCTCTTTTTCCAGCAAATTCTAAATATCGTAATACTAAGGGTTTTTGTCTTGCACTTCATCTATTGTGGAAATAGTCTCATAAGTTGGTGTGTATTTCTGTTCGATAATGATTGGACACATTTTCATTCCTAGCGGGATGTCTACCATAGAAGATAGAGTTGCCAAAGCATCAGTGAACCTGTTGTTCTCTCTCAATAGATGCGTAAATGTCAGTTTTCTAAACCTTTGAATCAGAATATCCAAGGCCTGATGGTAAACTTTCATTTTCTCCTCTTTGACTTTCCAGTCTCCATTTGCTTGAGAAACAACCAAGTTTGAGTCGCCAATGACATCCAACCTTATTGCCCCTAGTTCTAGGGTAGCTTCCAAACCAACAATATATGCTTCGTATTCTACTTCATTGTTGGATACTTTAAATCGGATTTTGAAGGCTAACGGTATATGGGAATCATTAGGTGCTACCAACAACACACCTATCCCATAATCATATTGATTGGACACTCTGTCAAAGTACATCATCCAAGTTTTTTCTTCGACTTGCAGAATGTCTTCATCTGGGAACAAATATTCCACCACCTCATCGCCCTCTACTAGGTGGTCGGCTAGGAATTTCGCTACAACTCTTCCTTTAACTGACTTGCATATAACATATTTGAGATCAAATTCAGAGAGAAGAAGCAGCCAGTGGGCTAGCCTACCTGTAAGTGCTGGTTTCTCAAAGAGATATTTAATGGGATCTAATTTTGAAACTAGG